ATTCATTAATTTAATTTTGCAGTGGTAGGAATTGAATCCAAAGCCTTTCCACTGCGCTACATCCCTAGTCCTTTGTAAGACAGTTTGAAAATGTTGACATAGGGTGTAAATTGCTGAATTGTCCTGTTCAGGCTGAGTTCAAATTTAGGATTCTCCTGCCTCAGCCTCCCAAAGTGCAAGGATTACAGATACGTACCACCATGCTTGGCTTCATTCCATTTTTGTCAAGTGCATCAGATATTGTATTTCTGAATTTCCTGTTTTTGTTTTTTAGTGCTGAGGTTCCATGGAATCCACAATCTTGGCATGGTAGGCAAGCACTCTACCACTCAACTACATCCCAGCTTAGTTATTTCTTAGTCTCTATTTCTTTCTTTGTTGGACTTCCTCCCTCCCTCCCTCCTTCCCTCTCTTTCTGTACTAGGGATCAAGCACAGGACCTTATGCTTACAAGGCAGGCAGCAGCGCCACTGAGCTAAATCCCTGGCTGGGGTTTCTTATGCTTCCATTTAAGAATATTGTTCTTGGTGTGGGAATGTGGCTCAGTGGTACAGTATTTTCTTCATGTGTGCAAAGCCTTAGGTTTGATTCCCCAGCTCTCCGCAAAAATTTTTTTTCATTACTGTGCAAAAGCTGTTGTACTGTCCCTTTCTGCCAACTATTTTCCAACATAGATGTTGGAAATAGGGTCTGGGAATCAATTTCCACTTACTATTTTTTCTCAAGAATAATAATTTTAGATTTGTCAAGTAATTATGGGTTGTACCCTGGTATTGGAAATGATATATTGTAGATACTCTGGATTTTGTGACAGTCTCTGGAGGTGTTTTAGCTTGGTTTAGGTGTTTAGTTTGGTTCTTTTTCTCTTGGGCAGCACCTAAAATGTCAGTTCAGTTCTTGTATTAGATGTTTGGAATCTCCCTGCCTAGGTGGGGTTCAGGGTTCAGCCAAAGATTTAGCTGAGCCTTTCTCAGGCAAGATGTCATGAAAATGGGGTACTCATCACATGCCATTCTTTTTTATTCCAAGGGGCAACTTCACTCCAGAATGTCTGGTCTTGGTTCCACTCTAGAATTTTCAAGTCATTTGAAAAATTTTTTCCATAGAGTTCTGTTACAGTTAATAGAATAAACCATTAAGAGCTGACTTGCTCATCATACTAGAAGCAGAATCTAAAGTACCACTTCCAAAAAAAAAAAAATCTGCAAATCAGGCTATACATGAATATAAATTGTACACTGTATTAGTCTTGGCAGCAGTAGCAAATAGGAATTGAATGTATTTTTTTCTCCAACATTCTGAAGTTGATCAGTCTGGGATCAAGCCTACCTACTTCATTGTTTCTCAGGTAACCAGGTTCTATTTATTTTGTTAATCTACTATCACTACAGTGTTTTCCTACTCTTATGGTCAAAATTAAGTCACCACCATGCCCATGTTCTGTGCTGTTGGAAGAGGGAGATAGCAAATAGCAAACAGCATCAACTTAAAGGTGTATGTTAAATTTACACATATATATCTGTCCATCCCAATGTTCATAGGGACACACCAAATTACAAGGGATTCTGAGAAACATGGACCGTAGTGTAGCAGTCAAAACTTGGAGGATTGGAACTTATTAGTAAAATAGCCCCTTACATTATTCAGCCTCTCTGAGGTAGGTACACATGTGAACCTTGTTTGTTTCCCTAGAGAGTAAACTTATTCCCTCCCCAGGGGAAACAACCCAAAGTGCCATCCAGATTCTGAATCCACCAAAATGTTGGGGATGTCTGGGTAACTATTAGTGAAAGGAATAAATAAAGACTAGCTACTGAAGTTGCTGTCTATGCTTCAGATATTTATTTGGCAACCTCTCCCCACATATAAACAGGTGTGTTGGGCAAGGTGGGGGGTGCACAGCAATGTGTAACCAAAACTTTAAGCGCACCAATATGGGTCCACAGGAGTACCACTGTTTGTCTAAACAATTGCCTCCTGTAGACAAAGATAAATTTACAAGGGAGTACAAACAAGAAAAAAAGATACAAAAATGATGGAAATGCTGGGAAAGAGGGAAGTATTTGTTCATTCATATAATGATTTAAGATAAAACATTTTTATCTGGTTAACATTTCATGTGATTAAAGGATTGTAAATAAAGGAAAATTTAATGAATAACTTCATATTTTTTAAATTATAAAATGTATTCAAATGATACTAAATGTAGGGTTTTTTTTGTTTTTTTAAATGTAGTTTAATAATGAAAAGGTTTGAAAAATCTGAAGACTGTAACTCAAAAATATTTGTCATACTTAGACAAAATGAAAACATTTTAATAGGTTACACTATATTCAGTTTGCCTTAACCTAACTAGGTAGTATCATTTGTTACATATATTTTAATTTCAAAGCATCAAATTTTTAGTCATAAATTTTGAGACTCAAGATTAAAATAAAAATTTGCAAAAAAAGCAACATACTTAAATAGCTTAAACGTCAGCTTTCCACACATAACTGAAAGATTGAAATTTTGCTTCTTTTATTATTCCAGCAAACATTACACTAGAGGAAATGATTGGGAAAATACAATAGTCATTAAAAACACAGACTGATTATTCATTCTGTTACATTCAGAAGTATGCAAACAATTTAGTTATTGCAAAGCTGTAATTCCTTTTCTAACAAAGCATTTTATAAAACTGTAATGTTACCATTAATTCCATTTTCATACAAAATACTTATATACATAATACAATATAAAAGTAAACTGTATAGTGCCTTCCACAAAAGGATATATTAAGGCGCTTTACAAATATACCAATTTGTTGACCCAAATTATTTTTGCTTTAGATTAAAAGAAACAGACAATGTTTCATTTTAAATACCAAAGGGATGTTTATTAAAGAAAAATTTCTAAAGTACCTTAGGTAACAGCAGCAGCAATATCTAAAAATCCTCCCACTGTATTTTCTAATTTCCAACATATTATTAAGTCAGAACAAAACATTTCCACTCACAGTTTTGCACTTTGCAACAGCAGAAGGTAATAACTTTTTTAAAAAGTCAATCTCAAAGTGACTTTTTAGTCATACGTTCTAGTTTCTATTACAAATAAGGTAGAAAACATATAACAAATAGGGCCTGCCTTAGGATACCACTGGACAATACATAACAGTTATCTACAATTACATAATTATAGAACATATTTTATAAATACTATTGATATGCATAAAAGCGTAAGTGTAAGACAGCCAGTTTTTTTAATGAGAAAATCATTTTAAAAGGAAAACATGTAGAACCCATGTTTTCACTCCATTTTAATTGAAGGCATTCAGATATCTTTATGCTGTTGTTGTCTTTTGGTCAGGAAGTACCAGGATTTACAATGGAAGACTGGACATAGGGAATTACAATAGCTACTAAGTAATCCAAACTATTTTACTGCAGATACCAAGAGTTTGTATAGTTATTCAAAGACAAAGACAAAAAGTGTTGGAGGAAATTTTGAAAGAATACAAAATTTATAGTGTCAAATTTGAAGAACAGCAGCAGTACAGATTGTTGGGAGAGGAAAAAAGAGGGAGGATACAGCACCTTAGTTTTCCTACAATGTAAATATAACAAAGTTGGCTTTCTACTGTATTGCACCATAGTCCAGAAGTAAAACTATTAAATGAAAATTTAAGCAAATCCAACTGAAAAATTTAAAGAACAAAAGGGTATCTTATAAATGTGAGTACCAAGCTAAAAATTCTTGAACTGGTTTGTTTTGCATAAGATTTAATAGGACTAATCAAATGTTTCATGAAGACTGCCATCTTATTATACTATTTTCTTAAACTTCTCTGATTTGAAATCCTTCAGAAATATTATTGTATCATTCCTGTAATAAGCCAAACATTTCAGTGCCCTCAAAATGGTATGCTTAAAACATCTTAGTTTTGTACCATCAAGAGAAAAACATGCATGGAGTCATCTTATCATATGCTACCAAGGTTTCCCATCACAAATTATCAGTTTTATACAAGATGAACTGATTAGAGTATTGATCAGCAAATTAAAGCAAAGTTTAATACATCAACTTTCTTACAAAACACAGGTCCTTAACCTAGTCAGTGACAGGTTTCATTATGTCCAGAAATTCGTGAAATTGCATGAAATATTTTACATGTGTGTTGATGTGCCCTTTTGGGGGGGGACCTAGAGCCCACATCCCTTATCAGATTCTCAAAAGAATTAGTGACTCTAAAGGCCCACATTACATGGTAGTAGTTTTCAGGCTGAGTGGTAAGAGGGCCACCTACAAAAGGTATGAAATATGAACTAATAAATGTTTTTCAACTGGAACACCTGTGCCTTTAATTTTACTACATGTTTTCCACTAGCTTTTACATGAAACAAGCTAAAAGTTCTTAAGTCACTAAAATTAGTCCTGCTATCCACAAACATTTTTTATTAAAAAAAACTGCATATCAATGAAGGTTAAAAGTAAATAACATACAAACTAGTTACTAAGGTCAGAATAGAGCTCAGTTCTCCTTCCTAAAAGATAATCTATATGTATTTCAGTATAAAATTAGTTATCCTTAGAATTTAGGCATTATATAAATAGGCATGTTGAAAAACATAATTAACCTTAAATAAGTTAGCTAAGACCACTATGTAACTTTTCCTAATTACTAATGGTCATCTCAATTATTAGTTATTTTTTCACCTGTTAATCAGCCCTTAGGTACAACACTATATTACCAAACAGCTATCTTTTCCTTTGATGCTAACAATCTGTTTATGCAGCACTGTTATGAAAGAGGTTCTATAGCACTGATGATATAATCAAAGTAGTCGCTATATAGGAAAACTACTGGGTTTTTTTTGAGGTGCTGGAAATTGAACCTAGGGCCTGGTGCATGCTAGGCAAGTGCTCTACTCTAAGCAATATCCTCTCAGCCTCTCCGCTGGGGGGGGTGCTTTTTCTTTTTAGTGAGTGTTCACAAATAACTCTAAAAAAATTTATTTAAACTGAAAATAATTTCTTGGCTTAGAATGGTACAAAAACATTTCAATTTCAAAGTAAAACTATAAAAGACCTCAGCTTTTAGTATTCAGAATTTTTGATTTACGGCAACTTTGTTCCCTTTTAAAACTGGAAGCAGCATTAATACCAAAATGGAAAGAAAACTAGTAGTGCTTTGGCTTCTTTTAAAGCCAGTATTTATTAAAAAAAAAAAAGCTAGAAGAAAAAAAGCTAAAAGACTAAGCATTCCACAGAGGGGAGAAAAGATATCTGCATTATTTTTCCTTCTCATGAACGTATTGTTTCCACCCTGTATTTCTTAGTTCCAGGATATAACTTATACAAATTGTTATTAACCCAGGAACACTGCAAATGATGGCTTAATTTCTCTAGCTTATTTTGTACCAAACAAAACTGGGGAGGAGGGGAGAAGAGCTCTGTAAATAGGGGTATGTTTCATATTTGGTTAAAGCAAGATAAAAACTAAAAATGTCTTTCAAAAACTCTTGAGTTTTAAAATTATTCAGCATATATACAAATAGATAACAGGCTTCTCCTTTTAAAACAAAGCACTAATTTTTTATTTTAAGTACTTTAAGTACCAAGAACTGACTGTAATGTTCAGTTCATAACTTATGTATAACAATTTTTTCTAAATTACTGATTTAAAAAGGTTGGAATAAATTAAAATTTTAAAAGGATTTCCTATAATTTAGGAAAATAAAATATTGTACACAGAGCACACATACATAGCTCTGCCACAGTTGCATAATTTTACTTTCAGCATTTCAAAAAGCCCAGTATTTTAGGCCTTATTGCAGATTCTCACTATGATTATTTTCTAGTGTGTTAAACATACACTAGATCACGATTTTTGATCTCTGAGCCTTTATGTTGATCATCTTCATCTGAATGTTGCTCTGAGCCTTGTGAATTAATGTGTTCATATTCGATAGGTTTTGGATAATTATATGGGTAGCCATTGTCATCAAAGAACCGCCGAAAGGTAAATTCATAGAAAGCATGTTCAGGGTGCTTTCCATTTTTATACCATCCATTGAGAGTGTCATTTACATTTTCTTCCTCGTTATCATCACTCCATAACTTGTCAGGATCAACAGGGTCAAAATTGGATGTGTCTGTTGGGTGTGTGATTTTAGGAATATATGACGCAGACTGCTGTCTCAGATCACTGGAGAAATCAACTGTTTTAAAAAATGGATGAACTTTTATTTCATCAGCACCATTCTTGCCTAAGCGATCTTCTGGTCCTCGGCAGAGTTTAATAATCAGATCAGAGGCTTCAGGACTCAGTTTAGCTTGTGGTGGAATGTGAAGAGATGTTTGCCAGTTGATAACCTTTAAAGAAGATTCATAAAAATTAGGAAGAAAACTTGGGAAAAATTCATAAAAATTTTTGAAAAACAAATTTCTTCCGCTGGGTGTGGTGGTGCACACCTGTAATCCCAGCACTTGGGAGGCTGAGGTAGTAAGATCATTGCAAGTTCGAGACCAGCCTGGGCTACATAGAGAGTTCCAGGTCAGTCTCAACTACATAGTGAGACTCTGTCTTAAAACACCAAAAAAAAAATAATAATAATAATAATTTTTTTTCTTCCAACTTTTATGAAAAAAAGTATAATTGGACTATTTGCTTTTAAATAAACTGCAATTATTTTACCATCTCTGCATTTAAGAATGAATCACTTGAGAAAATAACCTTTTCTCCTATCCCTTCCTCTCCAGGGAACTTAAACTCACAACACAAGACCCACAAATTTTTATATCCCCTCCTAAGCCCTACTTCATGCTAGCTCCCCTGCATCATATATTTACTTCTGTCATATTTCTAGTACTCTGTGGTACCTATTTATGTCTATATCCTTCTATTTTTACTTTTTGAAGTGAAAATTCTGTAACAGGAACTTTTTTTTTTGGTTTTTTGAGACAGGGTCTCACTATGTGGTTGAGACGGACCTGGAACTCACTATGTAGCCCAGGCTGATGTTAAACTCACAGTGATCCTCCTGCCTCAGCTTCCCAAGTGCTGAGATTACAGGCATGTGCCACCACGCCTGGCAGGAACTTTATTTTTTTGAGACAGGATATTATTAGGTTGCCCAGCCTGGTCTTGAACTTGCTATTTCCTTCTGCCTCAGCCTCCCTAATGCTGGGATTACAGGCATGTACCACCACATTCAACAGGAAACTATGTTTTAATTGTTTTTGTATTTCCTAATACTTTCCCAACATATAACAAATATTCAGTACATCTTTGTTCTGGTTTGGTAGAAGGTTTTAGGTAATCCCTGATAAATGGCAAAATATACAGTTATTTTACCTAGATATCTCTGATTGATAGAAAATCAATAAATATCATATACTCACATAGCAGCCAAACATTACTATGGAGGAAAAAAAATATATACCCCTTCTTATATTATCTTTTTATTTTAAAGTCTTATCTTAGGCCAGAAAAGAGATAGCCCAACTATCAGAATATTTTAAAAGTTATTTTTTTGTTTGTTTGTTTTTGAGACAGGGTCTCACTGTGTAGTTGACACTGACCTGGAACTCACTATGTAGCCCTGGCTGGTCTCGAACTCACAGCAATCCTGCTGCCTCAGCCTCCTGGAGTGCTAGGATTACAGGCATGTGCAACCAAGCCTGGCTAAAAATTATTCTTGAAAAATAATTATGGCATAGTAATATTTATGTGTAGTTTTATCAATTACTTTACAAAGGAAAAGATATAAACATGCAATCAGCTGGATAAGCTTCTATTTTGTGGTACTAGGGGTTAAACCCAGGGCTTCATACATGTTAAGCAAGCACTCTACAACTGAGTTATATCCCTAGACCTTTTTAAATATTATTTTGAGACAGGGTCTTGCTAAGTTTCCCAGGCTGGCTTGAACTTAGAATCCACCTTCCTCAGTCTTCTAAGAAGCTGAATCTTACATTTTTATTATAAGAAATTTTTAGTTTAAGGTAAAACAAAAGACTAAGCATATCCAGAGAAATATTGTTAATTCAAAGATTAACTAACAGAAATTACATAAACTAAAGCACAGAGAAGAAAAATAATAGAAAAATAAAGCATTAAAAATGTAAAAGACAGGGCTGGCGATTTAGCTCAGTGGTTCTGCCACCTGCTGCACAAGCACAAGGACCCGAGTTCGATCCCCAGTACCAAAATAAAACCAAAAAAAAAACCACCAAATAACAAATGTGAAAGACAATATCGAATTAATTACATAAATACACACACACACACATCAATATATATTTAGAATCTGAGAAGGACAGAAGGAAGCAAAAGAAATCTTTGAATGGAAAAAAAAACTGAAAGCTTTCACTCTAAAATCAGGAACAAGACAAGGATTTCCACTATCACCATTCTTGTTCAATATAGTTCTGGAGGGCTGGGGATTTAGCTCAGTGGTTCTGTCACCTGCCTCACAAGTGCAAGGTCCTGAGTTTGATCCTTGGTACAAAAAAAAAAAAAAAAAAAAAAAAAGAGTGTGTGTGTATATATGTATTTGTATGTATGTGTGTGCGCGCGCACACACACACACACACACACACACACATTTATTTATTTATTTATTTCTGGAAACAATAGCCAGAGCAATTAGACAAGAGAAAGAAATAAAAGGAATAAGGATAGGAAAGGAAGAAGTTAAATTATCATTATCTGCAGGTGACACGATAATCTACATAGAAGACCCCAAAAACTCCACCACAAGAATTCTAGCCTTAATAACCAAATTAAGTAGCACAGCTGGATACAAAGTGAACACTCAAAAATCAATAGCCTTCCTGTACACAAATAAAAGACTCACTGAGAGAGAAACTGGTGAAACAACCCTTCACAATAGCATCCCCAAAATATGAAAAACCTAGGTATCAATCTAGTGAAGAAAGTAAAAGACCTCTACAATGAAAACCACAGTACTTGAAAAAGGTAGATTGAAGAAGATATAAAAAAATGGAAAGATATCCCTTGTTCTTGGATAGGAAGAATGAATATAGTGAAAATGGCCATGCTTCCAAAATTGTTATACAGATTTAAAGCAATCCCAATCAAAATTCCAACAGCATATCTCACAGAATTAGAGAAAAACAATCCTAAAATTCACTGGGAGCCAGAGGAATGGCCACTAGAATGGCAAAGGCAATTCTGAGTCACAAAGGCAAAGAAGGAGGTCTCCCAATCCCTAACTTTAAATTATACAGCAAAGCTACAGTGACAAAAACAGTATGGTTCTGGCAAAAGAACAGACCTGACGATCAATGGAACAGGCTAGAGGATGCAGAAACAACTCCAGACATACTCATCCACTTTATCTTTGACAAAGGAGCCAAACACCTTTACTGGAAAAAAGATAGCCTCTTTAATAAATGGTGCTGGAAAAATTGGCTTTCCACATGCCTAAGGCTGAAACTAGACCCATATCTTTCATCACCCACAACCTAAAATCGAAATGGACCAAAGATCTAAATATTAAAACAGAAACATTAAATCTGTGGAAGAGAGAATAGGTAGAATGTTTGAGGATATAGGAGTAGGCAAAGACTTCATGAACAAAACACAGACTGCATGGGAAATACTACAAAGAATTGACAATGGAGACCTCATCTTAGTAAAAAGCTTTTGCACAGCAAGAGAAACAACCAACAGAATGAAGAGACAACCCACAGTATGGGAAAAAAATTTATCAGCTATTCAGATAAAGGACTATTATTTAGACTATATAAAGAACTTAAAAAAAAAGTCATAACCCCAAATTTAAAGACCCAATGCAAAAAATGCACATCTGAAATAAAAAGACACTTCTCAGATGAATTAGAAACAGCAAATAAATATATAAAAAAATATTCAACATCACTGGCCATTTGTGAAATGCAAATTAAAACATCTCACTCCAGAAAGAATAGCTATTATCAGGAAATCAATAATAAATACTGGTGCACTCTGGGGAAAATGGAACCCTTCTCCACTGTTGGTGCGAGTGTAGAATGGTGCAACCACTGTGGAAATCAGTGCAGAGATTTCTCAAAAAACTGTAACTAGAGGTTCCATTTGACCCAGCTACACCACTTCTTGGTCTTCACAAAAGAATTAAAAGCATCATACCATACACACACACACACGCACGCACGTATGTCCATGTTTATAGCAGTAGTTTATAATAGCTAAATCTTGGAAACAGCCCAAATGCCCATGAGCAGATGAGTGGATAAGGAAGATGTGTTTTTTTAATACACTGGAGTACTACTCAGCCATGAAGAAGATTGAGCTTCAGACATTTCTAGCTAAATGGATGCACCTTGAGACCATACTCTTAAGTGGAATAAATGGGACACACATGTTTAAATAATGCATTGTTTCCTCTGGTGTGAGAAACAAAGTGAAAATAAGGACTAAAATATATAATGAATGTTGGGAAATGGGAAGAAAGTGTTCGAATGGGAAGGGCAACAAGGGTGGAGGAAGGGAGAAAGGAAGGAAGGGACAAGAAAAAAGTGAAAATAGAAGGAAAAAATTGCAAAGCTTTTTTGTACATAGGGAGGGAGGAAGGGGGCTTGAGGGGGGATATGGGATAAATTTTATTTTAAAAAATATTTGAAGACAGGACAGATTATTTCCTAAAATTGATGAAAGTCACCAATCTATAATTCAAGAAACTTAGTGAACCCTGATCAAGACAAATATAAAGAAAACTATACACAAGCACATCATGGTCAAACTGCAAAAATATCAAAGTTAAAGGGGAGGAAAAAAAGCAAAACCAAACCGAAACAAAACAATGCCCTTCAAGCAGTCAGAAAGAAGTTCCAGTTCTTAAATAAGATACAGTAGGTACAATTTTGTCTTGTTTTTCCCATTGAATGCTGCTATAAAACCTACATAGAATGCATAGAGCAGATACTTAAGTAATCTAAAAGATAAAAAGTTTTGTGTCCCATAGTCTAGACTCAAGGTTGCTCCAAACTTAGAAGGGACATAGCTTGGATAGAGTAAGCCTCAGAAGAACCCCTTCTAGTTCAGGTTCAAGAAGTTCCATGAAAACAACTTCCTGGCAGGAATACAGATGGCAATAGTGCCTGTAGGCACCTACAATTGTGAGAGGGAACTCTCTTCCCAGTTGGAAATAAAACCACCTAGTGGTGATGGCAAACCTTTAAAAGACAAGCGCCCACACTGCAACCCAAAACCCATTTATTTATCACAAAGTGCCAACTGCGATTAAATTTGAATACTGAGGTTTTAGTTTAGAAAAAATAACTCATACATTAACATCTTTTGCCTTAAAAGAAAAACAACATGCATGCCATAGGTTTGCCACCACTGC